AAATATTAAAAATATAAATATTAAAAATTAATCTTCGAATAAATTTAGCCATGGAAATAATTTATAGAAAATCTGGATATATGACACAATTCTTTTGGTTAATGTGGAGAATATGGATTCAGAATCGAAGGACGATCTTCGAGGGATGGATTTCATGGTTTTCTTATTTCGTAAGTTTTATTTATCAGTAATTTTTTTTCTATTTTGTATGTTAATAATTATTAATTAGGGAAAAATTTCATTAAATTTTTAATAGTTTATATTGATCTAGATTTTATATTCTATAAGATTATATATTCTATAAGATAAGATTGATATTTTCATATCAATTAAAGAAAAGAAAAATTCAATAAATATAATATAAATACTATTTAAAAAATATAATTAAAATTTAGAAACTTACTCAGTTTTTTAAAATTATAGAATGCAATAATAAAATTGCCAAAAATAATTAAAATTTACTTTAAATTTCAATTAAAATTATAAAACGCAATAAGAAAATTTTTAAAATAAAAAAAATAATACGAAACATTTAAAGAACTATAAAAAAAAAATGGCCGAAATTAATTAGAATCTAAAAACTGATATTCGATTTTTAAAATTATAGATGCAATAACAAAATTGTTAGAAATAATTAGAATTTTTCATTCTTTTAAAATTACAATAAAAAAAAATTGGAAATATTTAGAAAAATTTCGACGAATAATAACGAAAAAAATAACCAGAAAAATAACTAGAATCTAGAATTCATTGTTGTTCACTTTTTCACAAAATTACGTGATTCAGTGTGCGATTTTTCCGAATATTCTTCCCACTGGAAAAAAGAAAAAAGAAAAATGATAAAGGAAATGAAATGATAAAAAGGAAGAGAAATAGATAATAATTTAAATTAATCGTAGCTTTCCATGGCGGCTGTAGCCACTTTTTACATGAGTATTAATCCAAGGACGCAAGAGGGTGTGCAAAACGCAAGGGGCGCTTTGTACATGATGAGCTCTGAAATTTCGTTCACGGTCGCCTATTCCGTGATTTACGAATTCCCTGGCCAGCTTCTGATTTATTTGCGAGAGGATGGTATTTATAGTTGTGGGCCCTATTATGTCGCCACATTTTGCGGATTGGTAATAGTACAATAATTTCACGTTCAATATTCCAGCTATGATAAAAATTCGTTTCATTCTTTATTTGGATGAACGAGCTTTATTTGGTTTATAATAATAATGATTGGATTGTTTATTTTACTTAAATAAATGTGAAATAAATAATAATAAAATTTAAAAAAGAAAAGAATGTTGTCACGAAAAGAATGTTGCTTGCAAAAGTTGATTATATAAGAAAATATATTAATTAATATTAATCATTTTTTTGTAGATGCATATAAATCATATGAAAGTGATTCTTATTTTTTTTAAAATAGAATCATATAATTTTTAATGCACCAATTGATGCAGGTTGTTATTTTTTATAAAAAAGATATTAAAATATTTATATATTTATATATATAATTTAAGATTAGGGATTAGCTTATTGATAGTAAAGTAAAGATTATTATTATACAGTAAGTTTTACAAAGTTACAATAAACTTTTAATGATTTTTTGATATTAAATAGTTTAATATATTTTAATATATTATATAACAATTGTTTTCTATTTAAAAAAAAACAAAGATCTTTTTCTTCACATAATCTGTATGTCTAAAAAAAACTATTAATACTATTTAATGTATTTTTTTTATATCAAATAACTTTTGTAACAACATTTTTTTTTCATTATTCTTTCTTTAAAAAATATTTCACTATATTTAAGTAAAATAAATATCTATTTGCATTATTATAATAATAATAAATTCTTACTTGATTTAAATAGATATTGATTTATTAGCTATTATTATTTTCAAAAAAAAGTTTTTATTAAGTTGTAAATAATTGAAGTTTATATTAGACTTAAATTGTTTATAGCTGAATAAATAAACTTTAATTGAAATTTTTGTGTATAGCCTCTAGAATCGAAAACGTATTACAAATATA